CAGTCTTAAAGATTTACTACTCCATTCTATGGATAGATGCTTGATTACTAATCGTAGCCAGTGGATACAAGTACACTTTACTTATTATGAAAATACTACTCAATTTTGATAAAGTACCATAGTCGTCGTCCCCCGAATGTCACCATTCCGCTGTTCAAGGTGCCCGATTAAAGATTTGGTTCACTACCACTGCAGCTAAGATATTAACATACTTTTGGCCCATGATAGCATCTTGGTAAGATGGCAGTATTGAAGAACGTGACATCTAGTAGGGTTTCGCTTTCCAAAAATTTCCCTAGCACTCTTTCGAAGGAAACCTCTAAGCCTATGTGTAGTGTAGTGTCTCCTGTTCATCACATTTCATAATTTGATATTTTTAATTGAAGTAAACAAGCTGCCATCAGTTTTCAGGGGAGGGCTTTTGGGAATGCGCTGTTTTTCTGTGGTCAGGCTCGAAGTGATGCAAGCTTTTACGCAATTCGAGGTTATCGATGTTAGAATTGCTGACGTAGCTAATGGGAAGTCCTCCTCGTTGCAGAATGAACGACCATTTGGGGGTGTTTAGTCTTACAGACCGTTTGGCAGTCATGTTGCATTTTCTATTAAAGGGTTTATCTACTTCACAAGAGGACTGTTGTCCATAATAATTTCACGCCGCTGACAATCCAAAGCAAACTATGGTACCACTTTAGTCCCTCTTTCAGTGTACCCTTCATAATTGCTGAGTAGCAAAGAGGCATAGTCGCCCAGTGTAAGAACAAGTTTTACCGTAGATCTCCAAATCAGCTACTGCCTGAAAGGCTACTCTGAATTGGTATTTGTTACGTGGAGAGGAAAGCTTAATAGAACACCGGAAGACGCCCATATCAGTTGACAAGGTCAAATTCGCAGGGCGTCATAGGTACACTGGTGACCGCCTTCCAGATGGCGATACACCTGCCGAAGAAAATTTTGGGTACCCAGTAATTGATTCGACTTTAGCTTCCGTGATATAGACGACTAATATGATGCTGCTTTTTTTAAAAGCAACGATTTGGATACTAATAACGCATTCGTAATGCTAAATAAACCCAGTTTCCCTAAATTGAGCAGTTACTCACGGCAATTCGCAGGAAACCACGACTTTCCATTGTGCTTTTCATAACTTAAAGATTCACTTAGCTTTTGTACCTCTAATCGATGGTGGGCACATGATGTTCGTCCTCAAATTCAACAGACTTCTTAATAGTCTACTTATTTTAATTTAGTACAAGTGTAGGCTTTGGTGGTCCAGCCTACGTTCGCTGTCGATGACATGACGTCGAAGTTTCGTACTACTGAAATCAAGCTAACTCATGCCTTAATGTATGACCCATTCTCATAATAAGCTTCTACGGGACCAAAATAATGCTGCAATTGACGCTAGCACAATTTCTTAAGCCTTATTCCTCACTTAAATTCGGCCTTCGATTTGTAATGTAGTTAACGTAAGTCGAACTGTTTTTCGAAAAAAATAATGAAATAATCTCAATAGCAAGTAGAAGACTGTTTAATGGCATTAATTGGTACTTCCGCCATAGCCGCAATCAAAGGCGATACATAATTCTCAAGCAAAGATAAGCTAAAGCGTTTTGACGAAATAAACACTAATTATTATGCATTGCTCATTTTCATATTTTGAAAGCCATTCTCTTCGATTTGAACCCTGCATGACAGTCAGGATCTTCGGGGGTTTTTCTTAATGTTGCCAAGACTTCATAAAGGTGACACCAAGGTTTGACTCTCAGATTAATACTAAAAATAGGTTCAAAAGAATTTAAACACCAGGAGCAATAAAATTGTGGTTTATCATAACACTTACACCGACAAAATGAACGGCTGAACTAATTTACGGATTTCTGTTTAGAAATATTAACCCAAAATAGAAAAAAATCCCAATTTGTTGGTGAGCCCTAAGGTAGGCGCGAGACTACGGATACTCCTGTGAGTGTTCTGGCAGACACCAGACACCGATTTTGCCCTGGTGTGTGTCGAGTCTGTTGGAGACCAACTGCCAGAAAGCTTCCCTGCGTTGTTATTATATCACGTAAAACTCTGCAAGGTACTTTTCGATTCGTGATTGTAAACAGCTAACATTTACAACAACTTCATTATTGACCTGAATAGACATGTAGAGCCCGCGAAGACGAAGATACGAATTGGAACGTTCGAGAACGTATGCGTATTATCCTAAACAACAAATATTACGACAGTAAACAGAGTAAGCGGTAAATGTTAAACAGTAAATGCATACAACAGATATTGGGGCTCACCACTTAGTACACTTTAGACAGCGCTTACCATTACCATCGCTGATAAGTAATAATCAATATTGAAACGAGACTTACATATAAATAATACAATGATCAAAATACCAACCTCCTACTCAGAAGAAGACCACATACAAAGAATCCTTAAAATTTTCGCACAATAGTTGTCATTAGGTGGATTTTAAACTATTCAAATTTTCAAAAACTGATCCAATCATTTAAACGGTTTCCATCTAATAATGTCTAATTTAGCCCTTTTACTTTAAGGGGTGCTACTCTGGGAAAGATCGATCTTACCAGACTCCCTTATTTTCACACTAAGAGCCATAATTTCGAAATGCTTCAACCTCGACTACGTTAACGCAAAAAGTACAAGAAAGTCTTGTAACTTGAATCTCCCGCTGTCTGAATGGTACCCGGACAGATTGCCTTAATGGCCCAAGCAGAGCATAAGACAATTTAATTTCCTGTCTTCCCGACCGCGCAAAGCGTAGACGCGAGAAAGCACCACGGATTCGCCTACTAAACCGTCTATATCGCCTTGTTCGACTGCAGAAGAGCAACGAAGGCCGGAAGTATGGTTTATTCACTAACGTTTATCTACCGATTTCAAACAGCAGATATGGTTTCTTTAAGTCTGACATTCAAACACTTAAACCAGGTAACTACACGCATCATTAAATCAACTTCAAATGCGAATGCAAAAAAACACATTTGGACGGAATTTCTTTAAGTGAATTACAACAGATGTGGGAAAGTGGTTTCTTGTCTTTTGGCGCGATCATTGATCATGTATTAATTAGCCTTTAAAAAGTCAAATTAAATGGATAAATAAGAATGTTCTCTGAGACAAGCACGACGCTACATTGAACAGTGTGTCGTACTCACCAGGGCAGGTGGCCTATAAAACAACGAATTTGAATGGTAGATGCACTCATCTCGAAACGCACTTTCTGAGAAGTTAAAAAACGGTCTGCTTGTCAGTACGCAAAAAAATAGATGATGACAATCCAACTGCTAGTTTTACTTGAAGAAGAAAGAGAAAAACATTGGTTGCCGTCGTAAAGCTATCGTTACTTACACCTCACACCTGTTATTCCGACACGATTTAACACGAATTATCTCCTATGGAGTTTTGAATCATAATGGAATTATAATTCAATGTGCTGTAGTACGTATGTCGGTTGAGAAAAAATATATTGCAGTAATACACTCAGTGCTAATTAATTGGAATAACACCATTCGCTAGAATGATAACGCAATGCTTCAAATTGCACGAGCACCGCTGAACACAAAATCAGGAATTTGCGATGGAAAGTCTTGTCTTAAAGCATTCTGTTGACTTTGCTCCGATCGAGTGAGTATTTTCGTTGTAACATAAATCACTCTGATGCGCCAGTCATAAAATTAATTCGATGTGAAGCCCTGAAACCTCCTGTACTTAGTCAGCACGTTTTAAGAGCATGTCATTACAGGTCTACGAAGAAAAGCCTCTAATAAGCCTATTAAAAACAAAAAGGAGAGGATTTATTCAGTGAAATTACTGATTGCATAAGGGCAGATGGAAGACTAAGTAATTCTGAATCGGTAAATTCACGATGACTACCACAAGAACTTTAACTTGCCTGATTATTAGATGGTTTTGCGCAAATGCTTCGGTGTTTGTTCCACCGGAATGTCGCCTGTTTGATGATTTGAACTGATCGTATCCATCTCCGGCGGAGTAAAATTCGCGAACAAGGTCACAACGCATGCCCCGCTCGGCAGACACTCGTTACTGCGCAATCTTAATGCTTCCTTTGTCTCAAACTTAAATAATTTACTCAAATGAGCCATGCGGACATAAACTGCTCAAAGTAACGGTCTGTGGAAAGGGCCTTTATCGGTACACGAGTGACCAGAAAGAAAAAAACCTGAGTAATTTCCTTCTCGGTGTTCTGGGGTAAAAACGGAATCGATGAGGATCACTCAAAACCTTATTCTACTCCGATCGGGATGCAAGCTAAGGGAGGACGACATCCAGGCCATCCACCGTTTCAAACTTGAGCTGGGAATCGCTGCTCAGAGACCGCACCGCAAAAACTTACAATTTTTGAAGCATTGGGATTACCAACTTAGAAATCTAATATCCCAACACTCCTTCACAGCCTCCTAACGACATCCAGGATGCACTATAACGGATAGCGGCCAAAAAACTTGATACGGAGAACTGAGTACCACATGGTAAGCGGGCGTGATGCGCGAGAGAACGCAGTAACGCATTGTCGAAATTCTCCGTAAAAATTTGAGCAAGAACAAACTTATCGAACCTGGCGTGTTAAACTCAACCGGTGCATGTTAGCTTCGACAAATTATAAGGCAGAGTATGACAATCAAATGGACCCCACCGGGGCAAACCGAAAAAATATTACGCCCAGAGCAGAGAGAGCAAGGAGCGGGAATGACACGCTAGTAGAAATTAGATCATGGGAGACATTTTGACATATCCTAGCCAAACGAAACCATACGGATTATACTTAGGACAACCTGCAAGCCCATGCTTCCGCCAATTCAATAAATCAAATACACAGATGGTAAATCTTTATTATTGCATGTGGTACAAATTTCGACAAAACAGCAAGCGTTGATAAAGCAGGATGCCTTGTAAATAATTTGGGCACACAAACTGGCTCGAAATCCTCGAAAAGATTATTTCGTGCTACAAACACTTGCTTACAAATCTTCGTCTCCTTCATCCGGGAGAGGGGCCTGAGCGGCCATCTACAAATAGAGCTTTCAAAACGATTTTAGCAAACCTGAAGTTCTTGCTCGTACGCCTGAGCCAGATTTGGGTCCATTTGGATATCTGGAGGTTGGAGGGCCGGCATAGCAACGAATTCAAGATTCGGATCACAAAAGAATTTGCGGGCAAGCCACAGGAAAGGCTTTTCGAAGTTGTAGTTTGATTTCGCAGAGATATCGTAATACTGAAGGTTCTTCTTTCTGTGGAAAGTAATGGTTTTGGCCTTGACCTTCCGATCCTTGATATCTACTTTGTTTCCGCAAAGAACAATAGGAATATTTTCGCAGACACGAACTAAATCGCGGTGCCAATTTGGGACATTTTTGTATGTAACTCGACTGGTCACATCGAACATGATGATTGCGCACTGACCCTGGATATAATACCCATCACGAAGACCCCCAAACTTTTCTTGTCCTGCGGTGTCCCACACGTTAAACCTGATTTCTCCACGATTAGTGTGGAATGACAGTGGGTGCACTTCAACTCCAAGCGTTGCTGAAATTCTTAGGTTTTATGGTGTACTTACCAACATATTTCTTTTCAAACTCCCCAGTCAGATGCCGCTTAACAAACGTAGTCTTTCCTGTGCCACCGTCGCCGACAAGCACAAGCTTCAGAGTAACAGGACACTCAGACATTTTTCAGCCGGAGACAAAACGCCACCTCAAAATTCTTCGAGTGCGCCCACCGTGAAAGGTGTGATCAAACAATTAATACGACAGAGGATGTATCAGTAACAAATTAAGCATGGCTTATAGTGTTTTGTGAATTATTTTAATAGGCATAATTGATTTTTTTCAAAAATGTGGCTCAAAATAATTTTGTAAAACATTTAGCTGTTGATCAGCTATTAGAACCACGCCTTCTATCAATCAACAGTCCCACAAATGGGTAATGGGTATTGTTAATTAATAATGTATTTAACTTATTAAGTATTTAACAACAAAATGTTTTTAATCGTTATTCAAAAAATGAAGTCTTCGTTCAAAAATATGGGAGTGAAGTGACTTAGAATGTTATCAACTTATAGGCAAGGTTAGCAAGATTTGAATTGATTTTTTGACAGTGTATGACCTTTTTAAATGCATCTTTTTGCTTCGATGCAATATAATTTTTTGGTTCACTTTACATGATTTCAACTACACGCCTCTGGATTACATCTCTGCACGTCCATTGGTGCTTCCAATCAATGATGCTGTAGCCTTATTTCTTGACCATCAGCCTTAGATTTCTATACGAAATGACACCATGATCAAATGGCATCAAGAATTTATCATTTATTATTATTTATTTTGGATCATACTCAGCAATACCTGAATTAGGTATCATTGTTATCAAGGAAAGTGTATAATAATTGGGTGTCACATTTTGGAAACAGCAATGGGACTTAATCGTAGAGACAAACATGCTCTGAAAAATTTAACTGGTCAGTACTGACAGCTAAATAACAAAACCACAGCCATGTACACGCCGCTCATTCTCACCAATCGATCAGTTGAAGTGTAAACAGCCTTTAAGAAATTGCTGAACGTTTCATATCATCCAAATTCCTAGCACTTTGACGGAATACAAACATTTCAAAATTTTTTGCAACATACAGCTTGACAGAAGTAAGAGCACAAAAATTTCATTTCTTAATTTTAGAATCAATGGTATTCCCTCAGCTGCGTTATGAGACAATCGCGGTTTCAGCAATTACGGTATTATTCAGTCGCCATGGTTTCTAGTCAATGTTGACTATAGGCCAAAAGTTTGCAAGTTATGTGGGAAAAAGTTCTCTCCTCGGACATCAATTTTCACAATATAATTTGACCTAGTCATTAATCAAAAGCTTATAAAATGAATTAGCTTTTTTTGGGCTTAAGTACTATTTTTTATGGTTCAATGTAAGGAAAACAAAGTGTTTTGAATTTTCAGAGTGATAACCCTATCAAACATTTGTAGAATACCCGAGCCCTAATAGGAAAAATACTGGTACAACAGAACAGGCTTTATTGACCAATCAGGAGCCAGAGCCACGCGTCAGGCGCCTTCCATCCGAGTCCTCCACGCTGGCCACGCCGCTCATTATATACTGCATCTCATCCATGTCCTTCTCTGGTTGGCTGCCATCCTTTCCCGCATGCCATTGGACCGC